CACGGAGCAGCTGGGCCCGTGAGCCATGGCCGCTGAGCCTGCACGTCCGGAGCCTGTGCTCCGCAACAGGAGAGGCCACAACAGTGAGAGGCCCGCGTACCGCAAAAAAAAAAAAAAAAAAAAGAATCCACCTGCCAATGCAGGGGACACGGTTTTGAGCCCTGGTCCACGAAGATCCCACATGCCTCAGAGCAACTAAGGTTGTGCGCCACAACTACAGAGCCTGCGCTCTAGAGGCCAAGAGCCACAACTACTGAGCCCGTGTGCCGCAACTACTGAAGCCCACGTGCCTAGAGCCGGTGCTCCGCAACAGCAACTAGAGAAAGCCCACGCGCAGCAATGAAGACCCAACACAGCCATAAATAAATAAATAAATATCAAACTTATGAAAAAAATTATGAATAAAGTATCTATAAACATTTGTGTGCAGGTTTTTGTGTGGACGTAAGGAGCGTGATTGCTAGGTCAAATGGTACTAGTATGTTTAGTTTGAAAGAAAGTGCCAAGCTGTCTTCCAAAGTGGCTGAACCATTATGCAATCCCACCAGCAATGAAATGAGAGTCCCTATTGCTCCACACCCTTTGGTGTTATCAGTGTTTTGGATTTGGCCATTCTAACAGGCGTGGAGTGGCATCTCATCATTGTTTTAGTTCATAATTCCCTAATGATATACGATGTGGAGCATTTTTTCACATGTTTATTTGCCATCTGTATATCTTCTTGGGTGAGGTATCTGTTCATATCTTTTGCCCATTTTTTAATCAGACAATCAAGTTGTATAGAATTGAGAAGTATAGAAATGTGAAGAACTCAGATATTAAGATGCTCATGTTGAATATTTTTAAAAATATCAGGGGGGGTAATACATATTTGGTGAAAAGGGAAATTTATGTGTTTTTTTTATTTTCTACTATGCACTTTTTATAGAGCTAAATGTATCTGTTAGCTCAGGTCCATAAAATACATTATGCATTCTTTAGTGTGCTCATAACATTTTGATGTGTCTACCTAAAAGAATATAAAGACTTAGGAAATAAAACAAAACAAAAATTTCAATTAGAAAAACCAAACCTCTGGGACTTCGCTGGTGGCCCAGTGGTTAAGACTCTGCAATCCCATGCAGGGGGCCCAGGTTCAATCCCTGGTCAGAGAGCTAGATCCCGCATGCCGCCAACAAAGATCCTGGCGTGGCCAAATAAATAAAAAAAAAAAAGTTCTTCCCTATTTAAAGGGAAAGAATAAAGTTCCTGAAAAGTATTTTTTTCCCAGATTCTCCTCCACCAGGACTCCATTCCTCTGCCCTCAGCCTCTCCACCATCACTCCCCCCCCACCCACATTTCCTTGTATATCAATATGAAATATTGGGTTAAGAAGTTTGCTCACTGGACAAGGAGTGTCATGATTAAGGCTTTACTTTAGAAAGATTTATGTTGCAGAGGTTAACAAGATGCACTGAAGGGGAAAGGATAAATAATACCCCCAGAGAGAAGTAAGGAAGGCCTGGGAAAGTGACACAGCTGGAGAACTGGAAAGGACACGTGACTTTCAGACACAATACAGAACGAGGCAGAAAGGACCCTGTGATTGAATGGATTATCTACAGTGAAAGATTGGTTGAAAGAATAAAGACGATTCCAAGATTTCAATCTGGGGGAAGAGGATCTTAATGGCAGAAATGGGGAAGGGGAGCTGCTTCGCTAAGGGAAGTCGATTCATTTGTTCACGTAATGAAAGGGCTCAGCACTGCTCTGGGTGCTGGGAATACATCAGTGAATGAAAATCATGAAGTTTCCTTTCCAGTGGGCAGTGACGTAAAATAAGTAAAATACACACAAAATGAGTACGTGATACAGTACCTGTAAATGATTAGTGCAATAGAAAAACGAATAGAACAAGGTGAGAGGAGTTACGACTGTCTGGGCGGGGAGCTGATGGAATTTTAAACAGGAAGGTCAGGCTAAGACTCACTGAGAAAAGACACTTACTTAAAAGACCAAAGGGTTGGTCGTGCAGGTGTCTAAGGAGAGAGCGCTCCAGGTGGAGGGAACAGCCAGTGCAAAGGTCTTCAGGCTGGAAGAGGGCTTGGCGTGGTGCAGAATAGGAAGGCCAGCCTTACTCTGTTGTGTTAAGAAGAGTGTACAGGGAGATGCTGGTGGGAATGTGAATTGGTGCAGCCATTATGGAGAACAGTTCCCGATGGAGGTTTCTCAAGAAACTAAAAATAGAGTTACTATACGATCGAGCAAACCCACTCCTGGGCATTTAACCAGACAAAACTCTAATTCAGAAATATACATGCACCGAAATGTTCATTGCAGCACTAGTTACAATAGCCAAGACATGGAAGCAACCTAAATGAACATCGACAGATGAATGGATAAAGAAGATGTGGTATATATATGCAATGGAATACTACTCAGCCATAAAAAAGAATGAAATAATGCCATGTGCAGCAACATGGACGGACCTAGAGATGATCACACTAAGTGAAGTAAGTCAGAGAGAGAAAGACAAATATCACATGATATCACTTATATGTGGAATCTAAAAAAACTGATACAAATAAACTCACAGACAGAAAAAACAAACTTATGGCTACCAAAGAGGAAGAGGGGAATAAATTGAGTATGAGATTAACAGATACATACTACTATATATAAAATAAACAACAAGGACCTACTGTATAGCACAGGGAACTATATTCAATACCCTGTGATAAACCATAATGGAAAAGAATCTGAAAAAATAGATATACGTATAACTGAGTCACTTTGCAGTATAGCAGAAATTAACACAACAATGTAAATCAACTATACTTCGATAAAATTTTTTAAAAAAAGAATAGCGTACAGGGAGAATGGGTTTGAGCAGGAGAGGCTCTTGCAGTAACTCAGATGGGAGATGAAAGAAGCTCAGACAAGGGTGGTTTACATTGAAGGTGGAAGGTGCAGCAGACACATTTGAAGGAGCAGTAAACATAATTTCCTATGAGAAGTTGAATGTGGGTGTGAAAGGATGACACCAAGATTTTTAACCTGAGAACCTGGAAGGATAGGTCTGTCATCAGCTGAGGTGGGGGAGACTGAAGATGGAGCAGACATCTTGGGATAAGGCAGAGATGAAGAGCTGTTTCGACTCTGAAACATGATCTCTGATCATGAGATGTCAATCCTGTAGTTAGAGACACAAGTCGAGAATTGGGGCAATAGGTCCAAGTTGGAGACAGAAATCTGACAGTCACTGGCAGATCGATGGGATTTAAAAGTCATGAGACTAAATGCGATCACTAAAGAAAAGGGGGTAGAAAAAGCAAGAGCCGTGCAGCTCCTAAAGACACCAACGGGAAGTGGTTACCTGCAAAGGTGACCAGGAAGGAGTGACCCAACAAGGCAGAAGGAAAACCAAGAAAGGGCTGAGCCCTGGGAGCCCAGACAAGAAAGTGACCAAGACGGAGGGTCTAGTGACCTGAACGACAGGGTCAACAGTGACCTGGACCAGGGCAGGCTCCACGGAGTCCTGGGATCAGAGGAGGCTGAATGCAATGGGTTTATGAGAAAATGGGAGAAGAGAAACTGGAAAAAGCATAGATAACGCTTCAAGGAGCTCTGTAGCAAGGGAGCCTGGACAGCAGCTGGGGGGAAAGTGGTCGAGAGGATTTGTAAGGATGGGAAATACGAGAGCACGTCCTCGCGATGACAGTGATGGTAGTGAGTTTCCCCCTACTTGTCACGTGGCTAGCTCCCTGCCATATTTCATATCTGTGTATCCTCAGATAAGCCTTCTGCAGCCACCTGTCCTGACATCCATGTCCCTCCTCCCCCAGGTTCCGTGTCTTCCATGGCACCCAGTACCATTTGCTGTCTCAAATCCCATCTCCCCCAGTGGAGTCGGGCTCCCTTAGTGCAGAGACCGTGTCTGTTTCATTCACTGCCCTATACGCAGGGTTCCGTATAGAGCCTAGCGTGGAGTAGGTGCTTCAGTTTTTGCTTTATTTTTAAAATGTGTTGAATGAATGAATACATGAATGAAATGATGCTCAGACGGGCAGCTTTTTGTTTTAGATGCCAACCTGATAAACTAATTAAATGAAAAGGAAACCTAGGTGTTTTGCAAGATGGGGTAATGGCAGAAGAGAAAAGAAGAGAAAATGAGAAAGGAAAACAAAGACAAGTCTGAAAATATCTGAACAGAATGGATGGCAAACTGAAGGCAAACAGAAGAGGCTGCAATCACAGAAACCCGTGATGCTACTACGATCAGAGGATACGGAGACCCATTCAAGGAAGATCAGCCTGAATTCCAGCGGAAAACTGAGAAACATCGAGCAGAAGGCCTTAACTTGTGGGAGTCCAGAGCAGTGACTAGTCCGATTTCAGTGCCTGTTATTCACCAATTTCTTCCACTTCCTGCCAACCCTCGCAGTTTGTTTTTTATTATGCATACGTTTTCTTTCTAAGCTTTCATTTGGCAAATTCAACTTCTCTCATCCACCTGTGACTTTAAATACCCACGATGAATAGCTAATGTAATTTATGTATGCCTTTTCAAATAACGATATAGCTTTCATTGTCATAAATGTAAAATCTATCGTGTGAATCCCTGTTTTTTTTTAATTTATTTATTTATGGCTGTGTTGGGTCTTCGTTGCTGCGCACGGGCTTTCTCTAGTTGTGGCGAGAGGGGGATACTCTTCATTGTGGTGCACGGGCTTCTCATTGCGGTGGCTTCTCTTGTTGTGGAGCTCGGGCTCTAGGTGTGCGGGCTTCAGTAGTTGTGGCTCACAGGCTCAGTAGCTGTGGCTCATGAGTTCTAGAGTGCAGGCTCAGTAGTTGTGGCGCACGGGCTTAGTTGCTCCGCGGCATGTGGGATCCTCCTGGACCAAGTCTGGAACCCGTGTCCCCTGCATTGGCAGGTGGTTTCTTAACCACTGCGCCACCAGGGAAGCCCAGTAATTTCTTTTTAAATGAGTATTTCCAAAAAACTGCCTCATTTAACAGACTGTATTATCCTGTATTATCTTAGTTAAGTACGAAGTCTTCGTCTTAAGTGTGTGCCCCTTAGGTAACACAGTGTTGTTAGAAAAACCATTATAACTCCATTCCCTGACTTGTAGGTCCTGAAATTTACTGTTGTAATTGTGCATGACTATAGTTTTTCAGTATGTGATCATACCATTTAAGACATTACTATAACAAGTAGTCCCTGGGGGACCAACTACAGCAAAGCAGACAACTAGCCCTCCCACTGCCCCGCTGGCTGGCTTTTTTTTTTTTTTTAACATCTTTATTGAAGTATAGCCAGGACATGGAAGCAACCTAAGTGTCCATCGAAAGATGAATGGATAAAGAAGATGTGGCACATATATACAATGGAATATTACTCAGCCATAAAAAGAAACAAAATCGAGTTATTTGTAGTGAGGTGGATGGACCTAGAGTCTGTCATACAGAATGAAGTAAGTCAGAAAGAGAAAAAACAAATACCACATGCTAACACATATATATGGAATCTAAAAACAAAAAACAAAGATGGTTCTGAAGAACCTAGGGGCAGGACGGGAATAAAGACGCAGGCGTAGAGGATGCACTGGCTGGCAGGACGGGAATAAAGACGCAGGCGTAGAGGATGCACTGGCTGGCAGGACGGGAATAAAGACGCAGGCGTAGAGGATGCACTGGCTGGCATTTAACGGGGAAGCTCAGCATTTGTTGATGACACCGTTAGTAACGGCATCACACATTCCCAAACCCACAGCCTCTGAAGGCCACAGTGCGGTCCTCTGTATATCTTGAGGTGGGGATAAGTCCCCTACCTGGCCCCAACTCCATCACGCCTTAGCCAACCTGACCCCCAGCCTCTGCTTCCACCTCCCCACCCAGTACCCTCAGCTCCCACAGCGTTACATCTTGAGGAGCAGTGGTGGGGAAGAGTAACGGGGTTTAAAGGAAAGATCAGCCCTGAAATTATAGGATAGAGAGAAGAAGAACCCAAGCCATGAAAGGAAAGGGCCAGACATCACCACCCCAGCCACCTGGTGTTCCTCCTCTCCTCCCCACACCACACCCAGGCACCCAGGCCCTGTCCTGCGTACAGGAGCCGCAGGTCCTCCTACAAAAATTGGCAGGCCGTGAGCAGACCGAGGCATAATATGGACCCCAAAGCTAACCTTAAGGCTAAACTATTTTACCCAGTTCTCCTAGCTCCCACTGTAATCGCTCAATGACAATTTCTTCAGTTGTCAAGATCTCACTGCTTTGACTCTGGGTGTGCAGCACAAAGGGCGGACACCTTGAAAATGCCCCCAGAGAACCTCAGCCTGCAGCCAAATTCCTTGCTATCAGCACGTGAGCACAAGCCGCCACACGGCCCCTCGTGTCTTTCACCCGTACGCGTGCGTGCCCGGCAGCTTACCGATCAAGTAACGCCAACAAGGTAAGGCGATCATACCAGACCTTAATCCACTTGCCAGGGAAGATGATAAACTTGTAAAACTGCTCTCGGTTAAATTTTCCTTGTGTGGAAGAACAGGAAGAGTCTTCTAGATCCTGACTCAGATGCTTTTAGAGGCCGAAAGAAAAAACAGAGAGAGGGTCTCACATTGACATGTTATTGTCATAAATAAACCTCCTGATTTAAAAGTACTAAAAGCAGATGTTCAAATTCTGAAATGGAAACCAACACAGTTCATAAAAAATGGGTACCCTAAGAAAAGGATGATAATAAACAGAAAAGGTCTTTTTTTTCAGTTCTTTTTTTGTAATGAAGTACACTTGATTTACAATGTTGTGTTAGTTTCAGGTGTACAGCAAAGTGATTCAGTTATATATATATTCTTTTTCAGATTCTTTTCCCTTATAGGTTATTACAAAATACTGAGTATAGTTCCCTGTGCTATTCAGTAGATCCTTGTTGGAGAAAAGGTCTTTTTTATCAACTCACTTCAATTTCATTATACTGTAACATTAAAATTATGCTACACATATCAAAATACTGCCATCAGGCCAAGAAACTGCCATGAAAATAATTCTTACGAAAGATCAGAATTCAGCGAAAGACCTTAAATGACTTAATTTTTGAAAGGTATGTTATTTAATGTAATGCTGAGATAAATATTTAAATTTTACTATAAGTAAAAATATTTTCACTGACAATATGTAGGTCCTCGGTGAAGCCCAATATAAGAAAAAATAAAATATTTATAGAAAAAATATAAGCCAATAAAACAGAAACAAATGGGGGAATTTAATCTCAGATTGAAAACATTTTCACCCCAAATTCATCTCTGATTGGCTCTAATCCAATGGAGAGGAACTCAGTTTTGAAAAATATTAGTCTTCATTCATTTGCTGAACAAATACCTAATGAGCCCCAGCCCCCTGTACATCTTCTATTTCTGTCTCTTTTTTTTTTGATAATTGTGGTTAAAAAAATATATAATGTAAAATTCACCATCTTGACCATTTTGTAAGTATACATTTCAGTAGTGACAATAATCATATTGCAATAATCATATTGCAAGAGATCTCAGGAACTTTTTCATCTTGCAAAACCGAAACTGTCCACATCGAACACTGACACCCCCACTCTCTCCTCCCCCAGCCTGACAACCATCCTTCTATTTTCTGTCTCCAGGAATCTGATTCCTCAAGGGACCTCCTGTAAGTGGAATTATACAGTATTTGTCCTTTTCTGACTGGCTTACTTCATTTAGCATAGTGACCTCAAGATTCATCCACGGAGCAAGTCTCAGAAGTTCCTTCCTTTTTAAAGCTGAATAAAATTCCGGTGTATGGATAGACCGCATATTGTTTATTCATTCATCTGTTGACAGACGCTGAGGTTGCTTCCCCTACCCCCTTGGTGGAATATTCGCTATTCACAATCGTGAATGATGCTGCTGTGAACATGCACGTGCAAATATCTGTTCAAGTCCCTGCTTTAGGCTCTTTGGGATATACATCTAAAAGTAGAATTGGTGGATTATTCTAGTTTGTATTTTTATTTGTTTGCTTTTGCCCTCCATTTTTCCCAGAAAGATTTTCGGTAGGCTCTAATTTCCTGTAGGCTGACTAACATAAAACACAGGAGACTGATAAGAAGGACCAAAATAAGAAAAGGGAGGAAGACAGCACAGAAGAGCAGCCATGGAGGGGATGCTGACTTGTAAAGGTCTCACACACTTCTCTCTGACTTGCAAAGTAGAAGGCTATACTTGGGCAGACTACATAATTTTTCCTTAATTCAGCGAAAGTCGCTGATGTCAAAATGCCTGGCATGCATGAGGGCAGCACACCTGCTTCATTGGAGACCACGTGGTACCCTCCAAGGAGGCTGACTTTACCATCTCTCTGTTCCCAGATGCTAATTCCCTGACTCAGCTATAGAGCACAGAGTTATTCAGACTATAAACGCAAAAGGCATTTCAAGGGAAAGTCGATCCATCGTGAAGGCAATATACAGGTTAGCAATACACAGGATGGATTGGGCTGTGTCATTACAGGAAAGTTGAGATTTTAAGTGCTGTTTGTGTCTGGAATGCGACTCCAACAGAAAAGAGAGCTTCGTGGAAACTGCCTGCTGTCATGTCAGCAAGAACAGCATCTTCTTTTAACGCCAATGAATTTGTGGTTCAGAGTAAATCTTCCCCCCCAAAAGAGATCCTTTTCCCTTATGCTCCGTGGATAAAGAGAGCAAGTAAGAAATACGTGTACAAGCTGAGCATGGTTCACCATTCTGTGATGTGGGAATTCAGGTATGATGTGTAAACAGGTCAAGGATAAGCAACAGTGAAGGTGATAGCATTCTTTTGAATAGTAAGAAAAATAGTCTCCTTTAGTGAGAGCAGTTTTAGGGAAGGTTGGTATAAAAAAATCACGGGAAGACTACGTCTACATTTTCTGCAAAACTTCTTAAAGATTCTGGTATATTGTGCTATTTATTGCTGCTTAAATGGAAATCCTTGTTTAAGAAACATCTCAGAATTTAATGCCAAGAAAAAATGGTTTGATTTCTGTGTTAGTTTACTAGGGTTGCTACAACAAAGTACCACAGATGGGGCGGCTTAGACAGGAGAACTGTATATCCCCCAAGCTCCCTGAAACATTCAAGAGTTCCGTATACCTAATAAAACTTTTGATGATATTAATAATTGACACTGATTATTAAAGGCATAATTTTGCCATCTTTAATCCTAAAAACTTCACAGTAACTCTTCCATGTAGGTGTTATTATTCTGGAGGCCGAAAGCCCAAGATCAAGGTGTTGGCAGGAGTGGTTTCTTCTGAGGCCTCTCTTCTTGGCTGGTAGACGGCCGTCTCCTCCCTGTGTCTTCACATGGTTTCCCTCTATGTGTATCTGTGTCCTGATCTCTGCTTCTTCAAAGGACACCAGCCATACTGGATTAGGTTCTACCCTAATGACCTCATTTTAACTTAGTTACCTCTTTAAAGGTCCTATTCCAAATACAGTCACATTCTGAAGTCATGGGGGTTATGATGGTAGCATATGAATTTTGAGGGAGCCCAAATCAGCCCATAACAACTTCCTTTATCAGAAAATGAGGTTCATCGAATTTCATTTTTTGCTTTAAATAGCAAGGAAGCACAGGGCTCGATGTTTCAGTGAATCACAGCAATTATACTTAGCCTGTTTTCTGGTATAAATTTCAAATTCAAATTTTCTTTTCCCCCTGCACTGCGTGGCATGCAGGATCTTAGTTCCCTGACCAGGGATCAAACCCGAACCCCCTACAGTGGAAGCGCAGAGTCTTAACCACTGGACCACCAGGTAAGTCTCTCAAATTCAAATTTTTCTCATCGTTTTAATCATTCATTTATTCACTCATCCAACAAATATTTATTATGCAGGTTATATAAGCCAGATATGATATGTAATATAAGCTGAAAATTCAAAGAATAACAAGACAGAGTTTCTACCTTAAAAGGGTTTAGGAACTCCTGGGGAGTAGACAAGCCAACCAGCCTGTGTAACACGGTGACACACACATACATACAAGTATAAACATGTCTATATCTGCATCTATATACCCAGAAAGAGAGAGAGAAGTGAGCCATGGGAGCGAACAAGGTGATTACCCCCAGAAAGGAATAAAGGGGTCTAACGCAGAGCTCCTGGCAAGCATCAGTGATGAAGGAGCTGGCAGGAGTGAGGACCCACAGTGGCGACTAAGGGGGGTTCCATATCTATGACTTAGGTAAACACAGAGACACACTAACCAAGAGGCCGGGTCTGTCTCTGATTCATTAATTAAGCCTCACCCAAGAACAATCGCATCACGCTGCCTGCAAGTCAGGCCTGCAAGTTTTATTCTACGATCAGAAGAAAGAGATTAGTAAAAGTAGGGGGACGGGGTGTAAATTGAACACAAGTCCTTTTTAAGAAACAAGATCATTGCATTTGCTCACCACCCCCCATATGGATCTGTACTGACAGCACAATACCAAGGTCCGTTTCGTGAACCTGAATTATCAAGAACAGCTTAAATAATGATCAGCACATTCCGTTTAAGAAGGTACAGAAGTATATAGTACATTTCAGAAATAATCTTTGGTAGAATTAAAACATTTAAGAATGTAAAGGGGACTTCCCTGGCAATTCAGTGGTTAAGACTTTGCCTTCCAGTGTAGGGGGTGCGGGGTCGATCCCTGGTCGGGGAGCTAAGATTCCACATGCGTGTGCCAAAAACACCAAAACAGAAAACAGAAGCAATATTGTAACAAATTCAATAAAGATTTAAAAAAAAAAAAAAAAAAAAAGTGGTCTGCATCAAAAAAAAAAAAATCTTTAAAAATAAAAAAATGTTTTAAAAAGAATGTAAAGGTCCATGCCCCTCCCCCAATCTACCTGAAAAGATCTACTGTTCAAAATAATGGTACCCTTGCAGCAACATGGATGGACCTAGAGATGATCATACTAAGTGAAGTAAGTCAGAAGGAGAAAGACAAGTACCGTATGAGATCACTTCTATGTGGGATCTAAAATACGATACAAATGGACTTACCTACAAAACTGAAGTAGTGGTGAGGGTGTCCCAGGTGACACATGCTGCACTCAACAGCTGTGAGGAGGGGAGGGGGGAGGGAGGGAGGATGGGGGACGGGAAGTCTGCAGAGCCCTAAGGAATAGGGCTGGGTTTCGCTGGACTATCTAAGAATCAGCTCCTCCTGTTGTGGCTATCCCTGTGCCTCCACCCTCCAGGCAGTGAGCTCACCTGCAGGCCACACCCAGGTTATTTCTCTGCCACCTTCAACTCATCCTCCGCGTTTCGGCTGAGATCTCTCCTCGCCGGGGAAGCCTTCCTGATGCCCTGCGTCCTGCCTGGGGCCTCCTGTGCGTCCCATAGCACCTGAGCCTGTCCTTATCACAGGCTCCATCCTACAGAACTGAACTGGTTGACCAGTTATTACAGACTGCCTGAAGGCAGAGGCTGAGGCTCTTTCCCACTGTTTACCTCGCCCTTAGCACAGGGCGGAAGGTACAGTAAATCTTTACCAAATGTGTGTGAGATGATGACCAGGAAACCAACTTAATTTTTATTTCGTGGCCAAAACCTAACTGAATTCCCTGGTGATATCAATTAAACTTGGAAAACTAAATGGTAGAACTAAAGAATTCTTTTCGATATGAGACCTTTATAAATATTTAGGGTCTATATAGGAGCCTGGATAGCAATCTTCATTTTCCCTCCTCTGTACCTACCTAGAGTAAAACTTAAATTGTTTATAAATTCTACTTAAAATTAAGAAAGTTTAAAAAGTTGAAGTTCATCAATGAATTTGGTTAAGTGTTAAAGGTGAAACAATACATACATAAATTTAGTTTTTTTATATACTCATTTACATAATCATGCCACTTAACAGAATTTTAAATGTAAAATAGGGAGTAGTGTAACTCTTTCTGTTTTATCCATGCAATATTTACTTATCTCTGAGTTTCTGTTCTACCTGGGATGTTTTTCAGACGCTAAGTCAATGGATTTGCATCTCTGACAATCCGAAATTCCTAGTTTCCCTAGGATTCTGCCACCCACAGGATCTGAGATATTTGCATCTTCCCAAACTACCTGAATATTTTTATATAACCTTCCCCTCCTTGTGGGTTCAGTACTGATGTTCTGGAGACGGGGAAGGGTGGTAGGGAGCTGAAGCTTACCCAGGCCTGTCTCAGGAGAAGGCAAGTTTCTCAGAGAAAACCCACATTCTGCAGGGCCGCCCCTGCACTAAGGCTTGTGGTGGGAACTAGTACTGGCCGCCATGGTGGGGCTGGACACAGGGCACGGAGTGCAGAGGGCGCAGCTGGGGTCTGAGCCCAGGGGAGCACACGCAGACATAGAAAAGACTGGTGAACCGAAAGATACTGAGGGAGAGGGGGAGGCCCCAGAATGCAGGGTCCTCAGAGCTGGAGGCTAAAGGCAGGGTGGGAGACCCCAGCGCTGCACCCTAACTGGACAGGACCACCCAGCATGCCCAGGGACCAGCCATCTGCTGGACCAGCCCTGCTCAGCCATCAGAGGCTCGCTCTCACCTCCACTCGCCTCCCGGGGTGTTGGAAAGCTTCCTCCTGCACCCAGATGTCCTCGAAGGGAGGAGGGGTAGGAGAGACCCAATACACGAAAGGGAAGACAGCCCTGAAGACTGACCCTTTGAGTTAACTGAATGCTTATTCCTACCGAAGCTCCTTCAAGCCTGAGAGCACCAATTACCCTTCACTCGCTTTTTCAAGTCCTCCCTATGCAGCCCTCCCAACTCGTACCCAGTCAGCAAGAATAAAGACTCCAGAAAAACATGCGGTCAGTTAGAAGATAGCCCAACATTTTTTCTGCACATCTGAAAAATGGCGTAAAGATTCCTATCAAGCATCTTTTGGAAAAATTTGGTTAAGCACTCATGAAAATGTATATAAAACTATTATTTCTTTTTATAGATGAGATTCTCTAGAATAAATCAAAACATTGTCAGGAGGAAGGTAAACACAGCAATAAAGAAACTTCACACTAACTTGACAGTATCCCATCTATCACCCTCTTCCTTCAATCTGTACTTACTGAAATCCACCTTCCTTCAAGGTCTAGCCCAATGTCTCTTCTCCTAAGGAGCCTTCTCCATCCTCATTCTCCGAATGCCCTGATGGAATCTGGAGTTCTAAATTCATAACTGGTTGTATGTCTTTGCTCCCATGTTATCTTTTCTTTGAATTCTTTGCTCTGTGTCCCACAGAGTCTCATTAAAGGTGTAGTGAATACAAGTGAATGAACATCAGTAAGTTATCTCTTAGTAAAACAGTGCAAGGCTTCATCTTTTAAGCCCCTTGATGATCATGTCATTTGCTCCAAGAATAAAGTCTCTCTTCAAGCCAAGATTCTCTTTAAAAATCTCTGCATGCTTAAAATATAAGGCTATAATAAATTAATAAAAATCCAGATATTTTCCAAACCATGGGGGGAAAAAATGCCATCCTAACCAAGTGAGCTCTCGTGGAATTTGTGCATCCCGGCAACCAAAGATCAATGTAAATGAATTTCTAATGCTTTTGGAAGAGCAATTAAGACAGTAATAATCCCGTTAGCATGAACGGAAGGGTACCTGTTATCTAAGAGGTTTCTTTTCACATTTGTTCAGTAGACTACCACAAAGTGATATAGCCACAACCCAGCTGACATAAAATTCAGGACAAGACTGGGCTAATTCTAGTAGGGAATCCAACCTGGAAACGGGTTTCAGGATCCCTGCTTCTGGAACATTCACAAACGGTAATGCTGGGACGTACCCGTGGGGTTTCTGACTGGGTCCTCCGAGCCACCATCAGCAACAGCTGTTGTTGCAAGGCACTGACCACAGGGTCCCCTGAAGAAGGATCTTGACTCTCGGAAGTTGTGGTACTGGACGAGCTGCTCTGTATGTCTCTGAGGATGGGCAAAACAAATGCTTCGGTTACCTGGAAGTACCAGAAGTCATCTACTTATTACATGCAAACACAAGGGCAGCAGGGATCCTTATTGCAGGTCACGGGTAAGCCTCTGCCACCTTGCATGAGCAGTTCAAAGTCGAAAATTGCGTGTGCCATGCCACCTTCAGGCAGAAGAGCTATCATCTTGCACACATTCAACATGGAACTCCAGTTTTATTCAATCATCCAAGACGGTGTGCTTCAGAAGAGATGAGGTCCCTCCCTGGCCTCTGGGGTAAATCCTGGTCATCCCACACCCATCATGAGAACTCCGACGACCCCGGCCAGCCCTAGCACATGAGTGTAATGCTATTCTAAGAGGCTACCGCAGAGCAAAGGGGAGGCAGCCGTGGATAAGGATGCTCACGAGCAAGTTTTTCTATTTCTTCTTTTTTTTTCAGTGTTTTTACCTTTAAAAACTTTTTTAATTTATTTATTTTTTATTGAAGTAGAGTTGATTTACAATGTTATGTTAGTTTCAGGTGTACAGCAACGTGATTCAGTTATATTATAGACATATATGTATATGTATATATTCTTTTTCAGATTCTTTTCCCATATAGGTTACTACAAAATACTGAGTAGAGTTCCCTGTGCTCTACAGCAGGTCCTTGCTGATTATCTATTTTATATACAGTAGTATGTATATGTTACTCCCAAATTCCTAATTTATCCCTCCCCCCTATCTTTCCCCTTTGGTAAACATAAGCTTGTTTTCTAAGTCTGTGAGTCTGTTTCTGTTTTGTAAATAAGTTCATTTGTATCATTTTTAGATTCCACATGTAAGTGATATCATATGGTGTTTGTCTTTCTGACTTACTTCACTTAGTATGATCATCTCTAGGTCCATCCACGTTGCTGCAAATGACATTATTTCCTTCTTTTCTATAGCTGAGTAATATTCCATTGTATCTATGTACCACATCTTCTTTATCCATTCATCTGTCAATGGACATTCAGGCTGCTTCCATGTCTTGGCTATTGTAAATAGTGCTGCAATGAACATTGGGGTGCATGTACCTTTTCGGATTATGGTTTTCTCTGGATATATGCCCAGGAGTGGGATTGCTAGATCATATGGTAGCTCTATTTTTAGTTTCTTAAGGAACCTCCATACTGTTTTTCCATAATGGCTGTGCCAATCTACACTCCCACCAACAGTGTAGGAGGGTTCTACTGCTTAAAAGGTAACAGAAGTAAGAGACTATCTCTCTCCTGACCTTTAGACACTATGTGAGTCAGAAACCCTTGGAGCTGCAGCAGCGATACTGCCATCGTGAGGGACAAGCCCGAGGACAGCAGAGCTGAAAGACAGAAGGAAACTAGTTTCTTGATGACCAACCAACCCTGCACTGATCAAGCCTTTGGACTTCCTGTTTCTGAAATAACACATCTTATTATTGTTTCAAGCATTTTTCTTTTTTCTTTTAATATTTATTTAGTTCGTTAGTTGCACCAGGTCTTAGCTGCAGCACGCGGGCTCCTTAGTTGTGTTGCTGCGCAAGCCACCTCAAGAATGCAGACGTTGCACTAATGTCATCACCTTCCTTTTTTTATTTATTTTTTTATTGAAGTATAATTGATTCACAATGTTGTGTTAGTTCCTGATGTACAGCAAAGTGATTCAGTTATACATTATAAACATATTCTTTTTCATATTCTTTTCCATTACAGTTTATTACAGGATTTTGAATATAGAACCCTGTGCTATATAGTAGGACCTTGCTGTTTATCTATTTTATATATAGTAGTTTGTATCTGCTAATCCCAAACTCCCACTCCATCCCTCCCCCACCCCCTCTCCCCCTTGGCAACCACAAGTCTGTTCTCTGTGTCTGTGAGTCTGTTTCTGTTTCATACATAGGTTCATTTGTGTCATATTTTGCATTCCACATATAAGTGATATCACATGGTATTTGTCTTTCTCTGTCTTTGACTCACTTCACTTAGTATGATAATCTCTAGGTCCATCCATGTTGCTGCAAACGGCATTATTTTGTTCTTTTGTTTAAGGCTGAGTAGTAATGCCTTCTGATTTCTAATCTCACGTTTCAGTACAAAGTTTCTAACAAGTTTTTAGACCCTTCTTTTTCCCAACTCCCTACTACTGTATTCACAAATATACAAATGCTTATTCTACAGGAACAGTGTTTAAAATACGTCCACTATTCTCACATACGTGCTCACAAACACACAGATTTCTCTACATTTTTGAGACATGATTTATGGCTATTTGATGATACATTCAATAAAGGCCTCCTTCAATAACCATTCAATAATGGTTTCTAAGTAAAGAACCACTTAGGAAACATCGTACATTAACACCAGGGTTTGAGAAATGAGTCAGGTGGGATAAGCACATGGATTTTGAAAACTTAAAAATCCTATCCTTCCATGATTTCTATGATTGTTCCATAAAGAGTGCTTTTGCTTCCTGACCATACTAGTGGTGCAATGTGTGTCACTAATAGAGAAAAAAATTTAGATTTGTAAAGACAGTGTTCATTCAAGCTTTTGTACTTTGTACAGAAACCTCTGAGGACTGTAATTCTGTCATTTCATAGCTAAATACAATAGGATCGAAAACATCTTGTTAATACAAATTTAGAGAAACCTAAAACTCAGCAAATGCCAGAACTTCACTAAAACCAAAAGACTGATCTGACTTCACTGTAGGTAACGTAGGTGATGACTATAAATAGGCAGGAGCAGTATGGAAATGTGAGAAAATCTAGACAGTGTACAGCGCCCTCTATTGCCAACTGAAATAAACTAAGAACAGACTACTGTGGAAGGTGTAACAAAGTTATTTCAGAGCAACCTTCCTCCTGCCAGGGCCTCCTGGCAGGAAAAATGGTCAAAAAGGAAGTGTCAATACAGCTGAATTTTTTGCATGTTTGTTTTTGTTTTGTTTTGTTTTGTTTTTTGCGGTACACGGGCCTCTCACTGTTGTGGCCTCTCCCGCTGCGGAGCACAGGCTCCGGACGCGCAGGCCCAGCAGCCATGGCTCACGGGCTCAGCCGCTCCACAGCGTGTGGGATCTTCCCGGACCAGGGCACGAACCCATGTCCGCTGCATTGGCAGGCGGATTCTTAACCACTGCACCACCAGGGAAGTCCCAGAAAGATTCTTTTCTGAGCTTTATGACTGGTATGTCCTCACCAGAAAACCTGTCTTGTCACGTGTATATGGGCTTCCTATTTGGCCAGGAGGAGACGTGTAACGCTGCTTCCAGAGGATAAGGAGATTTATCTTCTTCGTGTGGCATAGTTTTCTGGGGTCCTAATGTTGAAGTTGTAATCCACGGGCGCCAGCTTGTCCACTCAGGATCCAAAGAGGCTATGATGTCACAAAAATCACTCAGTGGACAGAGCTCTTCCTATACCAACCCTCCAAGAATTCCCACCCATCTTCCTTTTCTTGTATCTCTCTCAGACTATCGGCTACTTATTCTCCTGAGAGAACAGCAGTTATTCTACGGGCTGTGAGCTCAAGGATCATCCAGAAAGTCTCTGTTGGGGGCAGGGATACATTAGGAGTTTGGGAGTAACAGATACACACTACTGTATATAAAACAGATAAGCAGGGCTTCCCTGGTGGCGCAGTGGTTGAGAGTCCGCCTGCCGATGCAGGGGACGCGGGTTCGTGCCCCGGTCCGGGAAGATCCCGCATGCTGCGGAGCGGCTGGGCCCGTGAGCCATGGCCGCTGAGCCTGCGCGTCCGGAGCCTGTGCCCCGCAATGGGAGAGGCCACAGCAGTGAGAGGCCCGCGTACCGCAAAAAAAAAAAAACACACACACAGATAAGCAACAAGGACCTACCACATAGCACAGGGAACTCTACTCAATATTTTATAATAACCTATATGGGAAAAGAATCTGGAAAAGAATATATATGTATAACTGAATCACTTTGCTGTCCACCCGAAATTAGCACAACCTTGTAAATCAGCCATACTTCAATTAAAAAAAAAAAAATCTCAAAACATAGTCTCTGTTTCACTAACTTAAGGCTGGAGATTTCCCCCCATATTAATAAATATAATGTGAAAGTGCTAAGCTTCAAGAGACATTTCTTCCTCTAAAATAGCGATGGAAATGGAAATATTCCAACCCTGCAGTAATCACACTCTGAACTACAATAGAGCAGCAGTTGCACATCTGGCCTTGGTTTTCTTGCTCTCTGGTTTATCTCTGGACAACTAGTTTGGTTCAGAGCTAGAGCAGAGATAAATTTATTTAAACGAGATCGAATCCAGAGCAACAGCAGAAATAGTGATTAATGGTGGAAACTACAAAAAGAGCAGCCACTAGAAGGAAATAAAGATGGACCAGGGGCCAGAATGGTGCACTTTCTTATGGACAGAGCTGGGTCTCAAAGTCACAGTGACCCCATTGCGCTATACTGCTCTCCCCAGGTCTTCGCTCATCTAAGCTTCTGTAAGCAACAAATAACTGAAATGCATGTGCTGCTGCGTTTTCCCATTGATGTGGAAAGAAATCCTTGAAATTCTTCATCTTCCCCGGATCTCAAAACTTACAATCCACCCTCCCGAGGAAGAGGGCCTCTCTTTTTCTGCCTGTCCTTCCTGGTTTCCCAGGCTTACTCGGGGGCCATGGAAACAAGCCACCCAGAGGAGCAAGCCTAGAGATGAAAGCCCAGCCATGTCTTCAATATGTGGGATATTTAAATAAAGCAGCACTGTTTTGGAAACTATAACCTGTTATTTAGAATTTGAACAGGGATTCTTGTTTTAAAGCCTGCAAACAATTCTTCTTTTATAGGACAGCAAGATTCGTCTGTGCCTTTGAGAAAAAGGGAACACCAGCCTGGGAGCTTGTGAGGGCCTCCAGCACGGGATCTGACTGCCATCATGTGGCAGTCGGGGCTGTGACCACAGGGACAGAATCCCACCGTGTGGCAGGGCCTCTTCCCAGGGGTTCAGAGAACGTGCCTC